TAATCTTTCACACATAGCTTTCATATCTTTGGAACGTTCTCGTCAATATTTTTTATACTTACAGTTGTCAAATTTTCATAAAAATGATTTTAAAAGATAGTACACTCTTTGCCCTACACACCTAATACTTTTTTAGACTGGTAGTCTCGCGTTTTAAATACCTAAAATCCTATAGATTGTAATTCTGTAAAGTGTAAATCTTTCACACATATCTGTCATATCTCTGAAACATTTTTTTGCGTCAATATTTTTTATGCTTAAAAGGAACGAATTGTAATGAACTTAATGTTTAAATAAAGTGCACTCTTTTGCTTATACGTAGAATGCTTATTCGAGTTAATAATCGATTTGCAAATTTTTATCAAGAATACGAGGCTAAAAATAGTCATCTTTGACCTTTATTTGAAATGTTTAGGTAAAACTTTTTTATACTTCGAGTTAATAGATTTTAATTAATTTTATATTAGATGTAAGTGCACACTTTAAATATTAAATAATTTCGATGAAAATTTCCCCCTCCGAAGTCACGACTACACAGAAACATTACAACAAATGCTACATGTTTAAACAATTATATCACAATATAAAAATGCAAAGATCTGAGCCTTGTAATTTTTAATTTTATTGATTAGATGAAATATCCTCTTTATACACATGCGCAACGTTCGGAAAATCATATAAACAACTTTCGATAGAAAAACATTATTATGTGTGCACAACGTATCAGTCTAACAAAAGATTTTGAAAAGGATGGTACATAGATTATATATCGAACTTTTAAACAACAATAAACATTTCTATCGAATGAATAATCAACAATTATTTTAATTCACTAATGCACTTTACTTGTATTACAGGAAAATTTTACCCTCGAAGTCATCATTGCGCAGAAGCGTTAAAATAATTACATAAAGATGATAAAAATATAAAAATCAGAACGTTTTAATCTTCAATTTTATTAATTAGGTGCATTATTCCCTTTCTACACATGCGCACCGTTCGGAAAGTCATATAAACAATATTTATAAAAGTAGTTACATAGAAGACAAATGCTCATTTCGACGTTAGATTTCGAAGAGGACAGTGTATAGAACATATATTCCGAATTTTTTAAAACAATAGACATTTTTCTATCGATTATTTAACCATTATTTTAATAATCTTATACATTCTTTTAATATTTCAGTTTGTTTTAACACATATATATATATATATATATATATATATATATATATATTGGTTGAAATATTACATTACCTATTAACGTATTTTAAACAGAAGATAATTTTGATATATTTTTCTTTTATGTTTTTAGATGCCTTTTTTGAACTTGATTTCGTTACTGAGCCAATATATAAACATAAAATTTAGCGATAACATACATTGTTTTAAATCACTTTTTTGTTAGACTTCGACACGTAATCGTATTACTTGCGAATAGGTGGAACTCTTAGGGTAGTTTCGCGTTTTAAATACTTAAAATCACATAGAATGCAATGCTGTAAAGTGCAAATCTTTCACACATATCTTTCATATCTTTGGAACCTTCACGTCAATATTTTTTTATAGTTAGAGTAATTAAATTTCAGTGAACTTTATTTTAAATTAAAGTATACTCTTTGCCCTACGCGTAGAATACTTTGTCAAGTTATAAATTTAGCATGTAAAATTCAGGAAATGTCAGAGAATGCAATGCTGTAAATTGTGCATCTTAGCAATTTTTTTGAAAAGTTCAGGTAAATATTTGTTATACTTAGAGTGAATAGATTTTAATGAATCTTATATTCAATTATAGGACTCTATTTCTACGCGTAAAATACTTTGTCTAGTTCAAAATTTTTCATGTAAAGTGCCGATCTTTATATCATATTATACTATAATATATCGATATTAAGAATAGATACTTCACAATCGCATTAATAAAAGTATCTTCTCTTTTTTACAGATTCGCAAAAGATATTATAGAATCAATACTTCAACAAGAATGTACCTAATTGTATTTCTTATAATCGCATATTTAAACTTTTTTTACAAGTTAAAACTCAATACTGATACAATATTGACATGTAAACTTACTTTAAAATCACTAAATAAGCAACTTTAGGTTATAAATTTTTTTATTTTTAAATTAAAATGTTACATTTGCTACAAACGATTTTTAGTGAAAATTTTATTAGATTTCTATTATAAGACTTTAAAAAGATTTCTGCCTGTAACTATATCAATAAATTCGAATCCTTCACTTTGATCTCATGATGTGTGTTTACTTATAAACTGACAATAATCATACAAATACATACAGCTTTTTAATATTGTACTTGCAAGGAAAGTGAACAATTCTATTAATTTATCGTAGTTTTATAGTTAAAAAGTTTTTAAAATTCCAATTTCTATACAAAAAAAATGATTACATTATAATTTTTTTTTTAATATGTTTATATTAATATAATACTGTGGTATAATCTTATAAATACAAAAGTATATTAAAATATTCCATAATATCAACTCAAACTTCAATGTAGTTCTTTTATCTTGGAAAAATATACTAGGGAGTGACTAAAACATCGAATTAATTAGATTTATCAAGACTTTACATTATAGAATTTTACAAATTCATTATAAATCGGCTTAAATTTCATCTTTGTTTTAATATTATAGAACGTTATATTATCAGTAAAATAAATACAAATATTTTATAAGAATCATTACGTAATAAAATACACCACGATGCTGTTATGTTGAATACAAATTGCAATCAATATATGATATACTATTTATGAATGAACGTACATTTATATTTACTTAATACATAATATGTAAAGTATAGCATACATAAATGATGTACTATATACAATGCTAATTATATATCGTATGCATATGCAGTATTTATTATTAATGGAAATAATATAGATTTATAAAATATATTATGTAAATACACGTATATACCTATGTGTAGAATAATATTATGTAATATAAATATATAAACAATGTATTTCAATATTTGGTATGAATGATTTATCTAAGAATGAATTATTGATGAATTTCTATTGCACATGATTTATGAACATTCGAAAAAATTATAATATTTACGTATTTCTTACTGTGTATATACAAGATAATTAAGAAACACCATTATCCACATTATAAAATACAAAAATTTTCTAGCAAAATTGTATAATCATAAGCCAGAGCGCAAGCGACAACAGAAATGGTACCTATTTTACTTGTGTCATTTACTCTGCAAAAATAATTTCATACTAAAAGTTCTGTGATTTAAATAACATTTTAAAACTTGCACAAATATCTACTTGCTACAAATATATTGCAAGACTTTTAATTTTATACATAATCTTTCCACATTGCTCACATAATTGCTTGGTATATTACCATAATACTTTATAAAAATATTAATTTTATCACATAAATCTACTTTTGAATAACGAATTATATGCCGTCAAGAAAAGAAAAAAAATCCCAACATATTGAATGCATAACATCTACCCTTTACTAATGTAACCAACAATTTCTAACTAAATCAAAAATATTCTGAATAAATATTGATTATTTCTTTTATATAAAATATCTTAATGATACAAAAATCTTGCTTAAAACAAGTATTAAAATAACAAAATTGCGTATCAATATGTATCAAAGCTAATCAATTAAATGAACACATATTCAGCAACTTGCAATTATTAATTCTTTGATTCGTCAATACCAATGAAATATTAGAATTATAAAATATATTATGTAAATAATATTAACATTTATAAAACTTGTATATTATTCAAGTTCATATGATAAAGATCGAGTTTCCATATGGATTTCATTGCAATATTATAAACCAATTATTAGGATACAATATTATTTCCTCCGATACATTTTTGGCATGGCAAAAATGACATAAGTTCTTCAAATAACTATAATTTTAATGATTTGTTGAAACAATTGTTAAATAATTTGTCAGGAAAAAAAGATCAGATAATGTAAGAGACTTCAAATAATTGTCGCCAATTATTAATTGATATTACAAAAACGCGATGATAGCATTTGTCCAATGTTTTTTTTTTTTGTATTTATTTATTTATTTATCATTTTACCAATACAATTTGCACTGAATAATATTGATACGTATCGATATGCAATTTCTACAAATAAAAACAAGTAAAAATAGCAAGACAAAGAAATACAAGAATATTTTCTTGCAGTTTATTAAATGTTTTCTAGCCATTTCGATTGTCAAACTCGTTCTAGCGTTGAGTCGCAGGAACATAAGCCTATTAAAGAAAAAAAGACTTTTTGTCTTTAAGAATTGTGAATGTATTACTAATTGGAAACAGACAAGTTATTAATGCATACTCATGTATTTAGTTGTTGGCTATTTTGAATCTTGTCTATAATACATTTTCTATTTTGGCTTTAAAAGTGAACGTAGTATATTATATTGATTGGCGATTCCATATAGACAAATTCTGTTACTAATAATCATTTACATAAATATATCCTAGAAGGGGAACATGCTTCATAATTTTTGACTCTTTTCCTACTAACGTCGTAGGATAAAAACAGTTGATTTCAGTCAATATTACGTTGTCTAATTATGCAATATATAACTTCAATTACCTATGCACTTATTTTCTTGGAAAGTTTAAGTCTCTACCATTTTGCTTATATATTACTCAAACTACATAGACCTATCAAATAGAAAATACTCTATTTAAATGCATTTGGCATGTCTCGTTTGTATTATTTGTGTCCCATCTGTTCTAATCACAGTTACTTATTTCAAAGCCGAAAACAAATATAATGTCACTTTCTAATACCATTTCACCGTTAGTAGTACTATGTTTACTTAATCATTACACCTTTGGACTTTTTCTGGGCACCGAACCCATCTTAATAATACATTTTTCAATCTATACATTTCCACAGATTTTGTCTGACTTGTTATCCCATAACATTTAATGTTATACATATAATATCAATGTCTTATTCATTTATTTTACTTCTGCTAGCAACAGTCGATGCATCTATAACAGATTTCCGATTTCTTAAATTTTTCTGTTCGTCATATTTGGTTGTATCATCTTTTTTTTTGTTACCATCAACTAATTTAACATTATTATGGCGTTCGTTATTATCCATATTAGAATTTTTATACATATTCTTAATTTCTTTAGGTTCTGTCTCGTATGTTTTCCTCGAAGGTTGCGGCGTATAGTAAAGACTAAATCGTTTTGGTTTAACTTGTTTTTGTTTTTCATTTCTCAATTCATCGGTAGAACGAAATTTTCGTCCATCCTTTCTACTTGTATAATTAGACGAATTGCTAATATCGATGCACTCAACAGATTTCTTTGTAGAGTATTGAGGAATATAACTAAATCTTTTCATTTTCACCGAACTTTTGGTACAGGTTTTTATCCTCGAAGGGTTATCATCACTGTAATATGATAAACCATTTTTTAAATGTCTTACTGCATCTTGTCCTTTCGTCATATTATTGACAGAATTAATCTTGTCATCTGCATGAAAGTTTCGCGCTTTAGGTAGTTTAGATGTATTATTTCTTAGAATAATCTTTTTTTTCAATACTTCATCGTTAACGTTTTCAGCTTCTTTACAATTATTTTGATTTGGATCGTTCGCATTGTTGCATTTTACATCTTGATTAGGAGAGATTCTTATGTTTTCGAAGCTATCCGTAGACTCCATACTTTGAATCGAACTTGATTTTCGATTATATGCTGATTGAGCGAATTGAATATTAACAAAACTATCAGATGTTTCTATATCATTACTGGAACTACCAGTAAAACTGTCAGTTGAAGACGATACTGTATTACAATTCTTGAGATCATCACTTTTATACATTAACTTGGTATTAGATGATAGATTGGAGTTTTTATAAAATCGTGTATTTTTTTTATTTTGTCGTTTGCTCTCTGTTTTCTTACTTAGCTGAAAAATTTGAATGCTTTGTGTATCTTCTTTAAAATTTATATCACTCAAGGAATTTCCATTTCTTTTATTTAACTTAGTTATCCTCGCTAAGGGAACACTTTTATTAGGAGGTGTATCAATGCGAAAGGAAGAACTATTATGATAATCACATATTAATGACGTGGAATTATCTTTGTGTAAAGATAAATTTATATTCTTAGGAATACTGCTCATTGAAGAAGTTGTACTGTGTGATAATCTTAAAGGATCTTCAAGATGTTCATTTTTATTAAGAGTATTTATAAGATTGTGCACAGATTGATCAAGAGCATGAATATCTTGCAAACAATCAGCACTAAGAGACATAGGTCCATTTTCGCCATAGTTTTCACCAACCAAATCTATTTCATCTTTGCTATCCAAAGCTCTCAGTTGATAACGATTCATATAAAATATGAAATTATCATCCAAGGATGAAGGTATATTATTCTGATTAGACCTTTCACTATTATCAATATTATTCGCTTTTTCTTGAGAATCATCATGCTTTCTTTGCTTCTTATAGTCAAACTCAAATGTGGCTAGCCTTATCGGCTTACACTGCTGATCCCCGTATTGCTCCGTCGAGTCGGTAGATGTTGTTGAGGTCTGCTTGCCTCCTAGAAAGCTCTGCTGATATACAGAGGCAGGACAAAAGAGAAAAAAAAAGCACTGGCTACAGATACAGCAAACTACTACTGAAGCATGTCTAGTACCATATTATTCATCAATTGAATATAGCTGTGCGTGGTATGCGAATGATATTTAATACTCAAAGCAATCTAAATGAAAACAATATTTTTACAATGTTGAATGATACAATATTTCCTCGATAGTAACGCGATTCCGACAAGGAAAAATAAATAAACGTAATGAATAAAAGCAATGTGAAAAATAATGCTTAGTTAACAAGGAGGCTATTATGATTAAAAACCACATTATCATATAAACAAAGGTAAGCCATGCAGGTGTTTACTTAAAAATCTTCTACTAGGAAATTATTAGAAATTATATTTACCGCTAGCCATGGATGATCAAGTACATCTTCTGCGCTGAACCTTAGTTCTGGTTGTGCTTGAAGCATATTTGTGATCAATTGTTTAGCAGAATTTGAGATTGTATCCCAGTAAGGTGAGGTGAACTCATATTGACCACTTAAAATACGTTCAAATAATTCTTCTTGTTCATTTTCTGGGGAAACAAATGGTGGGAAACCACATAATAAAATGTATAAAATCACACCAGCTGCCCAGACATCGATCTGCAATAAATCATCGACATTATTTCATTTCTTAAAGAGCAATATAACAAATATTATGTACTTTTAATCCATATCCAGTTTCTGCAAGTATCTCAGGCGCTACATATGTTGGCGTTCCGCACACAGTGTAAAGATTTTCTCTCACTATTTGTGCGAGTCCAAAATCTCCTAATTTTAAACACCGTACATGACTACCCTCCATTTCAACTAAAAGATTTTCAGGCTTAATATCACGATGTACAATATGATGAGAGTGTAGATATGCTAAAGCAGATGTTAAATGTCCTATCATCACACTAGCTTCGGCTTCTGAAAATTTGGTTGCAGCAGCTATTGCATCAAATAAATCACCACCCTATAAATACAATTTATTTTAATATAAAAACTTTATTAGAAACATGTATCTGAACATAATTTTATGCTCTTTAAATAATTCATTTTACCTTGACAAGTTCCATGACCAAAAACAATTGATCCATTGTTTCTTGTTCTGCGACCAGACTAATTATGTTTGGATGACATACTTGACGCAAAATTGCAACTTCACTTGCTAACATTGTTTCCTTTCCTAGGCACTTATACTTATCGACTATTTTCATAGCATATTCTGCTCCTGTAGCTCTAAAAATATAAGAAATTATTTATGGAAAATAATAGTCAACGCTAAATAAAATTATTAGATAAATATCACTTACTTATGAATGCAATGTCTTACTACAGCAAAATTTCCATCTCCGATTACATGTCCCACGGCATAATGTAAACGTAGTGGTTGAGGTAAAATTAATGAAGATGGACTTGGTGTTCTGACTTGAGGAGTAGTAAGAACCTTTTTTCCAGATTTTCGTGGCATTCTTGGCATTGGACCATTTTGTCTATTTGAAATCCATGGACATCTACGGAAACTTTGGACGCATTTGGATTCTTCAAAATCTAATTCAAAATCTTCTTGATTTGATTTTTCCGTTCCATATGCCAAAAAGATATCGTCATTTTCAAAAAATTGTTCCAAAGAAGTAACTTGCTGACCTGACGAAGTATATACTTTTCTTACAGCTCCAGAATCAAGCTTTACCACTTCTGTAATAGCTTCCATTACGTGTTCTAAACTTGGTGCATTTCTCTTATTCAATAAAAGACGTACTACTTTTCTTGGTTTAGTACCATGTCTTATCAACGTTACTATTCTTGCTTTTACGCACAAAGGAATAGCGCTTATTTGTCTACCAGTAACAGCTGCAGTTTGAGGTAAACCAGAAAGGGAGCTTCCTCTTTTTACTTTTGACGATGAATATTCGACCTTTTTAAAGATTTCCCCTTGTCCAGAAACTACATAGCATTTACCATCTTCTAATTCGGAAATATTTTGTATCTTTCTTCCATCCATGGTATGAATGGCTCGAACTCCATTAGGTAATGTCACACTTGATACTAAGGCTCTAGTTAAGTCAGAAGCTAAACTATCAAAGCTACGATATCTTTCATGCGTTACTGCCATAACAACACCGGTATAAAACTTGTCACCATTTCTAAAGAATCTGACTCTTTTAGCCTTTTTAGTAGATGGAGTCCTGGCATTCAAAGACAGCCGTACATTGCCATCTGATATTCTTTCATCCGAATTAGATGTAGGCGTAGAATTTAAATCGTTACTATCTGGAAAAGAAGTTTCTTTGGATGGCGTACTGCCGCGATTCAATACTTCCTCCATCATCCTAAATGAAAGAAAAATATCATATCGATAAATAGCACGCAATAAGAAAATATTAAATTCAATGATAGGCGCAAACTTTTATTTATTACTTTAAGCATATACTTTATTGTTATTTAAAACAAGGTATATTCTAGCCAAAGAAACTGCGTTAAACTACTGTTTATATAATCAACATAATCCAAATTGTAAATAATAACTTCTGTACGTTAAGTTCAATAAATATATAACTACTATTCGCTATCAAATTCTATTCAATTGATTGATTTAACACTAGAGAAAGTTATTCTCTAACATAATATTCATACCTTATGAAAAATTGTATAAGACCCTACAGAAATAAATTAGATTCCACACAAGCACTCGCCATTTTTATATATCACTTTCCAAAGATACGTTTCCATTTTTCAACAAATGTAATACATAACGAACATGCATTACACATAAAGAAGACGTATTTCATAATTGGAGAAATATCACAACATTCATTAAACATACCATTAACGATTCTACATTATTATTATCAGCGAAGGATAAATGAAGAAAATAAATAAAAATAATTACTAAGGTACTTAAAATTAAAGAGATTCCATCGGTAACGAATCAACGTACAATTTCGAACGTTACTTAACCTTCAAAACGCGATATACTCTTAATATATATACCCAAAATAAATATTCCTATCGAGGACGAATATTAATTAGCGATATATTCACGTAAATAATTATTTCGATAAGTAGAAACCATAATGTAGGATTAAAAAAAAAAGCGCGAAAACACTCACCTACTCGTCAAACAGAACGTCTCAAAGAAACGAATGAAAGACGAGTTAATGAGGGAATGAATCACCAGTAGTCTGACATTTTCACGCTACCGTCACGCAAATGGCAGACATAAAATGCGAAAGATTTTCTTTCCAAAGCGTTTACACCTATTTTTTTCTCCTTTCTTTTTTTCTTTCTCTTTATTTTTCCACACCACTAATTCTGTTTTTATACATTTCCTATGCAAGAGACACAATAACTACCGATTTCTTTTTCAATCTACATCCACGTATAAAATAGGAAGATAAACTTGCCAAAGTCTATAAATAAAGGCTTTTGTTAAAGAGAAAGGAAAAGGGCGAGTACGAGAGAATAATAAGAGAGAGAATGATAGACACGAGGGAGGGTTTGCAACGACCATTGGTAGTAGTGGGCTTTTTAAAAGGATGGGAATCTGAAGAGGGGAGGAAACGGAAATGCAAGATAAACCGCGCCGAGACACAAAAGTAGAAGCAAAGGTAGAAGCATACTCACGTTATATTAATCTTAACATTTCATTAATGAATTATCATTATTATTATATGTTTAATCTCACGGTTTAATAACGCATATTAACACATTTTTTTCCATCGAAAAAATAATAATAATAATAGGGCACATGTATCTTCAATTTTATATATAGATTTATCATAAGAGCCGTATGACCATATAAGTGTTTATTCTTTCTAATGCTAGATGGCAGTACGAGTCTATGTCACTCAATGGCCACGTGTTTCTGTCAAAATTATCGATATTACGTATTTCACTTTATTTATTTATTGTTTTTTAAAGCAGTCTTTTTGGGATAACTTAGGATTAAAAGCATTGTTTACATTTTTTTGTTAAAAAAACGTAATTAATTAATTATTAATTTGTTATTATTTATATAAATGTATAAGATTGAAAATTTGTTCGAGGTTCTCAATTCCTTTAATAGCCGTGATCGTCTAGTGGTTAGGACCCTACGTTGTGGCCGTAGTAACCCAGGTTCGAATCCTGGTCACGGCAAGGGATTTTTTTTACAAATAAAAATAATTACAGAAGATACCTATATTTCCTATTATAAAAAATTTATATTTTGAACTTAAAAACTTTTCTCTCTCAGGTTATTTAAAATTGTCAATATTTATTTGTGGAATGTATACGATAGGATTAGGATAGAGGTAATTTCTCTGTATAAATATTTTAGGCTTTATGTATATATGTATA